TATAGGTACTTGGGCTATAATCAAAGTCGAAATATAGATCATACTAAAATTAAATCAGAATTAACTAACAAATACACAACTAGGTTAAACAAAATACTTAAAACACTTCTATCAGGTAGAAACAAAGTTAAAGCTATTAACACATATGCCATACCGGTACTCACTTACTCCTTCGGGATAATTCGTTGGTCTGATACTGATTTAGACTCACTTAATAGGCTAACTAGAACTAAGTGCAACAAATACAACATGCACCACATACACTCTGCTGTTGAAAGGTTTACAATCAAAAGACAATTAGGTGGAAGAGGAATAATTGATATTAAAAATCTACATTACAAACAGATTATTAATTTGCGGTCATATTTTAGAGCAAGAAGTGCTGATAGTTCATTACATAATTCAATCTGTGTCATTTCAACCTCTGGTACATCACTAAACCTTAATGATGTAGATTTTAATCCTGAGAACAAAATTATGAAAGAAAAATTAAAAATTGAAATGTGGAAATCAAAAGTGCTTCATGGAAAATACCCGAACCAACAACAGCAGGAACATGTAGATACAGAAGCTTCTAATATGTGGTTAAAAAAAGGAAACATATTCTCAGAAACTGAGGGATTCATGATAGCGATTCAGGACAAAATAATAAAAACAAAAAACTATGAAAAATATATTATTAAAAATCCCACAATTTCATCAGACACATGCCGAGCATGCAACACATCTCGCGAAACAATTGACCACATCACTGGTGGTTGCTCATTTTTAGCTAGCCGACAATACCTCGACAGGCATAATAATGTTGCTAAACAGATATACTCGCTGTTAGCCAAAAAGTTTAAACTCATAGATCAGATAGAGCCCTACTACAAATACAAACCACAAAATGTGTTAGAAAACAAAAACATATTGAGAAAATTCAAAAATATATTCCATTAGCATATGAAATAAAAGACATGTGGAATCAGAACACAGTTCGAATTATTCCAATAATAATATCATCAATAGGCGTTATACCTAAAACATTACACGCTAGCCTAGCCGAGTTGAAACTGCATAAGTTTACGTACATAAGTCTACAGAAATCTGTAATCCTTGATATATGCGGAATAGTGCGCAGATTTCTTAACAGTACTGACATATCCCCCTTTTCAGAAAACACAACAGGTTAAATAAGAAGCAGAGTTTTTAATACTCACTGATCATATTTTAGGGTAAGAAGAACCGTTAGCTCCCTAAATTTTAAGAACAGAAAATTGGTTTCTATATCCCAAAAGATGTGAGTGAGGTTCTTTGGCATTAGCCCGTCTTCACTTGCTTAAAGTTACCAGTGCAAACTGAGAAGACCAGGATAATAATTCTAATTGTCGCTTATTTTAATAGCACAAAAATAACCGTAAGGACAAAAAAATGCACTTATTTCGATATAGTTCAATCCACGTAAAAATTTAATCATCCCGTATAGGTCACTGAACCGACCTGTACTGTTTTCTGGATGAGTGGCGTTTGTTCTGTGAGTTCTGTTTGAGAAGATTGCTCCCTTTGAAGTATCTTACCTTCTTCCTCGGGTAAGATGGGCGATACCTGTTTAAAGAAATAGAAGTTCCTAATATCCCAGTTGGAAGGAGGTCCGACAGTGGAGACAATAAAACATACATTGTATATGTACAATGCAAATTGTGGTAAGCTACATATGTAAACGTTAAAGACATAATACGAGGGTGGATTGATAAGTTTCCGGCCTAACCAAGAGATGACGCCACTAGGCCTACCTTGAGGTGACATTCTATAGTACCATCCTTGGATAGCTTGTAGCTATAGTTTCAGCCCGATCTCCTTNAAGTAAACCGTTGGAATCATTCGCTATCGAATCGCCAGCAGACGATAGGCTGACCTGATAATCATTGTAGTAAGATGTTTCCAGACTAATGTTTGGAGCTTCGCTAGCCATATACGTACTATAGTGATTTAAACCCATAAAATCATAAGTTCCTTTTATGTAGTTTATTTCATCCGGAGTAAACTGTGGAAGCCTCGATTGTTTATAACCTTCTAAAGAACTATGATAAGCAATATATTCTTTTACAACATCAGGATAATCCCCTTTAGATGAAAAAACTGGTTGAATGTACATACCATACTGAAAATATAGCATTGTTTAAACACTTCTACATACTTCGTATTATGTTTGTCTTATGTTATGTTGGTTAATGTTTGTTCATTACCCAAAATTGCCGTATTCTTTCTGCAGCTACCTCATCATCCGTAGTATTTGGTTCAAACCAGTCAGCACTTATTGAGATACCAATTTTACCTAAATTACAGAAACCAAATGAAATAAATTGGTGCAGTCTTCTTTTGACGTGCATTTAATTATTTGACAAACCTTTAAATTTTGGTCTGTATTTATCTGGGGAATATTACTGCCTCAGCATTTGCCTAAGTGATCCAAGGAAACCACAGAAAAACTTGGACCAAGGCAGACGGACCAGGAATCGAACCGGCGTTCTCCCGAATGCTAAGCTATGGTCTAGACCTCTAGGCCATGCCGCTCGGTACTGTTTGAGAAGATTGCGCCTTTTGAAGTATCTTACCTTCTTCCTCGGGTAAGATGGGCGATACCTGTTTAAAAAAATAGAGACCCTAGACGTACTTGCTTCCCTTCCACCTTTTTTCTGGACGACCAGTGGTAAGAGAAGGTTGACCCGAATCACGAAAAGATGTGGAAGCCGAGCGGAGATCTTGACTAGCTTTCTCTAGAAATTTAACGTTTTTTGCCTTTTCTCTCAAATTTGGTCCAAAAAAAAATTCGGTTGGAAAAGAATTGTCGGTCAGTTCTTTGACTGATTTATTAAGGACTGGGCCAATTAGATGTTTCCTAACAGATCCCAGTTTATAATATCCCAGTTTGAAGGAGGACAGTGGAGACAATAAAACATACTTTATATATGTATAATGCAAATTGTGGTAAGCTACATATGTAAACGTTAAAGACATAATATAAAAATGCACATTAGTTGAAAAACAAAATATTTTATTTCCTCTATCTAGTGTTACTTTATTTGTCTTGTAAGTAATTGGTTGAATGACAAATAAATAAAATATAAGTGTATTTATCTTGAGGAAAACTGACATCTAGAAGCATATTGTAATATACAGATATTATTTGAATCTTATGAAGCAGTTACCATCTTTAATCAACTTTGTCGTAACTCACTACTGTTCTATTTCCAAATACGTTTCTAATGAAATGTGCTGACGACTTTGGAATTCTAGGCCGGTCAGGATCAGAAAAATTTACATAATAAATTCCATATTTAGATCTGAAAGAAAAAAAAAAGAAGAAGTTCATTGTGAGCTATTACTATAAAAAACAGTATATATAAATAATAAACAAGCAAATTTTTGTTTTACTTTAACTTTTAGGTTAATTTTGTTTACTGAATTATTGTTTATATTCCTTACGTATATCCTAAATACCATTCATAATTATCCATTAAACTCCAAATCGTGTAGGCAATAACGTTGACATTATCAATATAAATGGCTTCCAAGAGAGCTTCAAGATATTGCTACAAAATTAGTTTACAGTGAGTAGGTATGCCATGAATCTGGTATCCATAATTATTTCAACCTTTTTGATGCATGTGGTGACGGTAAAATACTTACGCCATAATATGAAATTCTCCTTTTGTCGTCAATGACGTCATCCAAGTCATTTATCCCATTTTCTGTCACAAAGATGTCAGGATCATCATACGTATCTTTCAACCATACCAACAATTTTCTAAAACCCCACGGTACAATCTAAAGCAGTAAATGGTTTTATTTTCACATTTTTTTTCATCATTTTAAATTATTCACATTCACATGTTCACATTTCTGAAATTTATTGTACATCCCATTCGGAAAAAAAATTTGTTTTAAAAGATTTTTTGGAACTTTCTGTTATCAATTATTTTTACATTTTCATTTTTTCATAACTATAGTATTTGATCAAAAATGAAATAAAAACAACTTTATAACAGCGGATGCTAAACCACCACAAAAAACGTTTAATTTCTGTTGGGAATAACTATTTTTCTAGACAAAATAGAAGAAGATATTTTGATATTTAAAGTACCGAAAAAGTTGGTTTAACGGTTTTTTACTATTTTTGAATTAGCTACAAATAATCCCCTTTATCATCAAAACGAAATAGGTACAAGGATTTTTGCCTTTTCAATGCGCATTGCAGGGGCCTTCTTTAAGAATATACAACTACTTGGGATATAATGCTGAAAGATGAAAAATGGATCGAATAATACAAAAAAACACAACAATCACATGTAGATACATGTATTCGGCCTGGGCCAGAATATAGTGTAATTCATTCTTATTTTTTGATACCTCTATTTCAGCAAATGAAAAATTTCACGGTGCCAAAAGAAATGACAAACGATTGTAAATAATTGAAGCGGTTATCGCAAAAAATTCGTTTACACATCTTAAGTGCCTAGATATTTTGCTTAGTCATATCCAAACTAAGGGAAAGAAATGGACAGTAAAAGAAATGTTAATGCTATGCAAGTATTGTGTATGATATCTAACCTCAAGTAAACCGTTGGAATCATTCGCTATCGAATCGCCAGCAGACGATAGGCTGACCTGATAATCATTGTAGTAAGATGTTTCCAGACTAATGTTTGGAGCTTCGCTAGCCATATACGTACTATAGTGATTTAAACCCATAAAATCATAAGTTCCTTTTATGTAGTTTATTTCATCCGGAGTAAACTGTGGAAGCCTCGATTGTTTATAACCTTCTAAAGAACTATGATAAGCAATATATTCTTTTACAACATCAGGATAATCCCCTTTAGATGAAAAAACTGGTTGAATGTACATACCATACTGAAAATATAGCATTGTTTAAACACTTCTACATACTTCGTATTATGTTTGTCTTATGTTATGTTGGTTAATGTTTGTTCATTACCCAAAATTGCCGTATTCTTTCTGCAGCTACCTCATCATCCGTAGTATTTGGTTCAAACCAGTCAGCACTTATTGAGATACCAATTTTACCTAAATTACAGAAACCAAATGAAATAAATTGGTGCAGTCTTCTTTTGACGTGCATTTAATTATTTGACAAACCTTTAAATTTTGGTCTGTATGTCGTATTGTATAAATGATAAACCGCTGCATGAGCTTTCAGTAGATTATGTCCACAGAGATAGTCCGCAATCCCTGAGATTCCTAGTGCAGGAGCCAACATTAAATCTCCATACGCAAACACACAAGTTTGAAAAGGTTCATTAAAAGTTAACCAATATTGAACTCGATCGCCAAAATGTTCAAAAGCCGTTCTTGCGTATTCAGTATAGAAGGTGACAAACCTAGGATTGAGCATTCCTCCTACCGCCATAAGGCCTTGTGGAAGATCCCAATGAAACAGAGTAACCATAGCCGTAATATTATTAGCTACAAGTAAATTTAGGATCTTGTTGTAGTGATTGATGCCTTCGTAATTAATATCGTCTGGAAATCCACTTGGGAAGATTCTTGTCCACGATAAAGAAAATCTATAAAAATCTACTCCTAAATATTTAAGAAGTTCGATATCCTCTTCGTATTTATGATAAGAATCGCATGCTATGTCACCATTGCTTCCGTCAATGATCATTTCTGGATGGGTATGAGTATGCCTATCCCAGGTGCTTTCACCCTTCCCTTAAAAATATGAAATGCATCTGTGAATTAAATATAGTTAAGCCAACTAAACTGAAATGTTCTCAACTGTAGTGAGTTGAACTAAAAGACAGACTTTTCATTATAATTTATATGAATATCAAAACACCGTAAGCCTCGAAATACCGTTGATTTGATGTTTTGTAAAAATTAAAATTTCTTACCACTTTCGTTCCATGCCCCTTCAATTTGGTATGCTGATGTTGCAGAGCCAAACAAGAAATTGTCGGGAAACCTATAGCTAGTTGCCCAGCACCCTCTTAAATAATATACATAATTAGTCCCCTCTATTGTACGCAATGATAGTAACTTGTTACCTGTCAAAAACCGCAAAAAGGGCAAATATGGTAACGACTCTGAACATATTGAACAATAACATTCATCTACTGCAGTTTATTGAATTTTAGAAATATATAGCCCAATCCCTAATCGATTAGATAAATTACACGTAAATTAAAGAATGATAAGGTATTTATTGCATTGTTTCATATTGTCTGGAAATATAAAGTGCAATTTATTATTTTTTTTTTAATACAACAGAAAAACATTTTTAAGTATACGTTAAACATATTTTAATATTAGCACAAATACCGAAGTAAATGCTATAAAAATTGATACTTATTCAGAGGCGATTGTAATGTCACTTTTAGATTTAAATACAATTTCCAAACAAGGTTACTTTTAGAAAGCAAATTTTCGGTTGTGTTTGATCTCATCAGCACGTCTTGATGAGTGGGTAATTACATAAAAAGTATAGGAAAAATATTGGTACTGACATGATCGCCTTCAAATATTAGCAGTGAACGCAGCTGCTAACAGAGATCCCCAGTTCAAATAGTACAGCCTGGTGGCGGTAAAAGAGACCGAGGGTAGTTGGTTATCGGAGTTGGCTGACTACGAGAAACCGTTTTCCCTTCTCGCTTAGTCACCGGAAACGCGACTTTCCCCTCAGTTTTGGGCTTAGACCTTGTGTTTAAAAATTAAAAAGCGATTTGGGGATGGTAGACTAATTTATTTCGCGGCTGGTTTACCACCTAATTAACCTACCCCATAGAAGTCTGGATATGCTTCATATGGATTAAAAGTAGTCTTTTGTTAGAATAACTACATCAAAAATAGACAAATATTTATTGACAAGGAAAAACTCGCATTAAGAAGTTACCTCGAGAAAGCAACTGATATGTATTTATTACATTTTAAGGCACATCAGATTGCAAATGGATTTGGGAAAAAGTAATAAATCTATCCCTTATTCAAGGAACAAAAAGGTAATTTTTGCTAAAGATTAGGTGGGAAGTTACCAGAAACGTCATCCTGCACTCTCTATACGATCTCCTTAAGCTTGAAGCACATCGTTCAATAAACAGGAAGTGTTAAGTGTTTTTCCTACGGAAAATTCCGTTACTTTGTAGAATTCGTATGTGATCTGTTCCTTGTTCGTCTCATGCATTTGATAATATTGGTGACGTAGTTGCGGTACAGCTTGTTTATTTGTTGTGGCATTTCCTGGCTACACTCGATTCAGGACGTCTACTCCTGTCTAGCTTACGATGAGAACGCATTTTCATCGAAAGAAGACGTTGAGTTGTGCGTAAGTGACTCGATTTTGTTATGGGTAATAGATATCCACTTTCATCTAAAGTTTTTGAGATAAGTATTATTGGGTTGCCCTTTTCCTTTTTAATATAGTAATTTTTTCAGTAAATACTCGATTATTTATAATTCATAAATATTTCGTTTTATTTAGTGTTGATTTTATATCTGATACATTTTGAGTGTTTGGATTTTGAGAGTTTTACTCATGACTGACTAGTCTCTGGCTAATCTTGATACTTCTTCTTTAGAGTTTATTTGCCGGGAGCTATTTTTAAATTGTTAAGTTGTATTATTTAATACTGATAATGATACTTTTTTGTTATTAAGCCCCTTAGATTTTTTAGATTAGGGTGGTTTTTATCAGAGGATATGAGTTTGTGACACTCCTGTGAGTTGAAAAATTCTTTAGAAGTGTAAACATCTTTCGTAAGTATCCTGGATCTAAAATAGTAGAACCTGTAATGCCGTACAAAAATTAGCGATTATTTGAAACTGCGAGAATATTTCAAAGTGAAGTTTTGGCTGTTGGCTTTGGTTACTTTTGACGGACAATTTTTAATAATCATGTTCCCCATATATATTCCAGGACCACTTCTTGTTGAATCATTATCATTCTATCTGACAGTCTTATTGTTTAATGCTCAGAGGCTATTTGGAAATTTTGTAGGTTGAGTAAATTTCTTCCAATTGATTAAATTAAATTTAAAAGTGGTCCTTTCCTCAGAAATTTTTGAAGTGAAACTTCTATATAGACGAGATATTACGATTTTTTCTGTCATGAAAAAGTGTTACGGCCGCGTGGAGGGTAGCGGCGGAGAGAGGGAAAGACTGACTGCGGAGGAGAGAGGACAACGACTGTATTAGATAGATATAATGCGCAACCGCGCGAAGAGTGGGGAGTCCGCTAGAGTCCCGGCGGCGTGTGCTGTGCTCAGCTGTTGTTTTCTTACCTCTGCTCTCCACGTGGCTGGACATCATTACCTCTATTTGCGGTCTGTGTAAAAACCAAATCGTAATTTGCAGTAAGCCTGTAAGAACGAAATGTGTGCTGGGACATGTTTCAATGGACAAGTGGAAAAACGAATGTCAACGGACAAGAGGAAAAACTAATCGCAACAAAATTGTTACTTCAAATTTTACGGGCAGGTTTTTAAGTCGGTCAAGTACATTAACAATCTGCCCGTAAAACTTAAAGTAAAAATTTTGTTGCGATTCGCTTTTCTACTTGTCCGTTAAAGCTTTACTTTAACCATGGGCCTCAGCACACCATTTCGTTTTTTTTTTTTTTTATTGGAGTCAATAAGTTCAGAAATTAAATTAATTTTGTATATCAATACAATAAATATAAAACGATATTAAAAGTAAAATATCTTAAGTGTTATATATACTTATAGTAACATACATAAAGTTTTGACGATTGTAGTGTTCCTTTAATAGTCTTGTAAGCAATAAGTTTAATTATAAATAAATGAAGCGCATGCATATTTATTCATCTTATAAAAATTAGTGCTTATACAGAAATTTTTGAACCTTAACAAGTAGACACTCATCTTTAATCAATTTTGTCGTAGCTCACTACTGTTCTATTTCCATAAACGTTTTTAATGAAATGTGCTGACGATTTTGGAATTCTAGGACGGTTGGGATCAGAAAAATTTACATAATATATTCCATATTTATATCTGAAAGAAGAGGAATGAAGAAATACATTGTGAGTTTCCACTATCACAATCAGTACGGATAAATACTTGATTGACGGAAAGTTAGTAGACGCTGATAAAAGGAAAATTTTGTTTTATTTAAATTTTTTAGGCAGACATTATTTACTGAGTTTTTATTTAAATTTCTTACGTATATCCCAAATTCCATTCATAATTATCCATTAAACTCCAGGTTGTGTAGGCAAAAACAGTGACATTATCAATATAAATGGCTTCCAAGAGAGCTTCAAGATATTGCTACAAAATTAGTTTAGGGTGAGTAGGTACACTATGAATCTGATACCTATACTTATTTCAACGTCTTCTAGGCATATGGTGAGTGTAAAGTACTTACGCCATAATATGAAATTCTCCGTTTGTCGTCCATATCACCAAGATCGCAATATCCATTTTCTGTCACAAATATCTCAGGATCATTAAACGTATTTTTTAACCATACCAACACTTTTCTGAAACCCCACGGAGCAACCTAAGGCAGTAAATGGATTTCATAAATGTAAGCATGCACGTTGAACTGTGTAAAAAGAAAAATAGAAAAGAAATAATTTAGAGTTTTATCACAGAAAAAGAAGTGCCTCTCGTGAAACAAGGAGTAAAGTTAATTAAATAGAAATAAAATTCGCAATTATCTAAATTCGGGTTAGTTCCTGCTTCCGATAACATTATTTCGTGGACGCCATGTATACATACGTGTACGTCTACCTATAAGTTTGAAATTTTGTAAATTAAACAAAGAAATATCGTGTACATCATCTAACCTCTACTAAATCATTTCGTGCCGAATTACTAGTAGATAAAATGTTGGCATGATAATCGTTGTAATAAGAAGTTTCTAGACTAGTATTTCCAGAATCGCTGCCCACATATGTACTGTAGTGATTTAAACCCATAAAATCAGCAGTACCCTTAATATAATTAATTTCATCTTGGGTGAACTGTGGAAGCCTCGACCGTTTATAACCTTCCAAAGAGCTACGATACCCTACATTTTCTTTTACAACTTGAGGATAATCTCCTTCAGATGAAAAAATTGGATGAAAGTACATACCATACTGAAAATATAACCCGAGTTAGACACATTTATCATATGTTATGTTGGTTAGTTTTTGTTCATTACCCAAAATTGGCGTACTCTTTCTGCAGCTGCCTCATCGCCTATGCTTTTTGGCTCAAGCCACTCAGCATTTATCGAGATAGCGATTTTACCTAAACAAACAAATATAACAGTTAGGTCTTCTTATGATATGTTTTTTTTTTATTTTACAAACCTTTGTATTTTGATTTGTATGTTGTATTATATAAATGATAAACAGCAGCATGAGCTTTAAGTAGATTATGGCCGCAGAGATAGTCGGCAATTCCTGGCATTTGTAGAGCAGGAGCCATTCTTTTATCGCCATAGGAATACACACAAGTTTGAAAAGGTTCATTAAAAGTTAACCAATATTTAACTCGATCACCGAAATGTTCAAAAGCCGTTCTTGCGTATTCAGTATAATAGGTGACAAATCTAGGGTTTGTCAATCCTCCTAACTCCATAAGTCTTTGTGGAAGATCCCAATGAAATAGAGTAACCATGGCGCTAATGTTATTGGCCACAAGTAAATTAAGGATCTTGTTGTAGTGATTAACGCCTTCGTAATTAACATTATAAGGGTGTCCACTTGGGAAGATTCTTGACCATGATAAAGAAAATCTATAAAAATCTACTCCTAAATACTTAAGAAGTTCGATATCCTCTTCGTATTTGTGGTAAGAATCGCATGCTATGTCACCATTGCTTCCATCAGCGACCAATTCTGGGTGGTTATGAGTATGCCAATCCCAGGTGCTTTCACCTTTTCCTTAAAAATATGAAATGCAAATTTGAATTAAAAATAGCTAAGCCACTTAAAGCGATACTATTTTCTCAAGTATCGTAAATTGAACCAGAAGAACAACTTTTCGTTATAATTTGTGTCAATATCGAGACTCGATAAGCCTTAATGGGCTGATTAATTTCGTGCATTATATGAGAAACTGAAATTTGTTCCTACCGCTTTCGTTCCATGCTCCCTCGATTTGGTAAGCTGATGTTGCCGTCCCAAACAAAAAATTGTCAGGAAACGTATAACTACTTGCCCAAGACCCTCTTAAACGTGCATAATTAATACCTTATTGTGTACAATAATAATAACGATTTACCTGTCAAAAACTGTAAGTAGGGCAAATATGGTAAAAACGCTAAACATATTGATCAGTAGCACTCGTGTAATACAATTTGTTAAATTTTAGAAATATATAAATCAATTCGTTAAACGATTAGATAAATTGTACAGACATTAAGAAATGATAAGATATTTATTTATATTATTCAAATTTTTTTTGGGTATAAATTGCAGTTTTGTATTTTTACTTGTAAATTTTTTTGTTTTGATATCAATTTGATGTTAGTAGAGGAGCAAAAATAAATTTTTTTAACTCTATCGCATTTTTGTCACAGATAACCATCTCTCCGTTATCTTGGTTTTTTCCCAATGAAGAAAAATGTTTGAATTCAGTCAAAACTTAAGTTACTACCACAAAAAATGTTAAAAGTGTTTGAGGCAACTTCTTATTTTCCATTAAATAATTCTTAAAACAACAAACTTATTCCTTTTATTCGCAAAACTGTAGTCGCTTTAGTTTAATTTTGCTGGTTTAGGATTCATCATCATCATCAGTCCTAAGACTGGTTGGACTCGCACCTCCAGTCTTTCCTATCCTGCTCTAATTTTCGCATTTCCCTAAAGCTAGAGCAACAGATATCCTTAACTATTTCCGAACAGTAATCTAATCTAGGTCTACCTCTACCCCTCCTAACTCCTGTTTCTGCCTCTAATATGTCTCTGACTAGACCTTCATGCCTGAGAAGAGTCCTCTGTTTGTGCATCTTTCTATCTATTTAAACAATTTGTAGAGTGGATTTCTCTTTTATTATTATACTATCAATTGCCTCATGAAGCTTGAATAAATTGCAGTAACATTAATAAGTTTTACTGGCATATCTAGTATTAGTTTTCAACTGAATAAAATCACTTTTTCAATGCGAACATATTTAAATAACACAATTAGAATGTACATAACGCAGAAGACAAAAGTTAGAGTACAATAAATGAAAATTTTCAAAGTTAATCATGAAAATAAATATAAAAAAAATAAAAAGTATAAGAGTTTATTAGACATCTTCAGAATCCGTTAAATCGTCATTAAGTTTCTGTTGTAAGGGGTTCACATTCAAACAGAATTTTTCTCCAAAACCTCTCTAATCGCGGACAGTTGACTCGGGAACGCGCTAACAAAAAGACCCTACCCTTAACGGATAACCGGTAAGAAACCCTATGTGTTGGTGGAACTACCTCCTGGTGAAGATTATTGTAACGCTTTTATCAACGTAATTGGTTTTGTTAACTTTTAAGGTATATTGATCTGCATTGAGAGGATGATGCTTTTTATAAAGGTTTCTGTTCAATTTTCATTTGTAATGTCATCTATCTAAATTACNTTCAAGGTAATTTATTATTTTCCTTAATTGACGAATAAATTATTACAGTAATTTTTATAAAATGGGTGTCTGACTCAACCACCAACCATGACTTGATTACCTGTTTAAGTAAATACCTGTTGTATTACTGAATTAATTATTAATTAAAATTACCAATCATGTAAAACCGTCGTTACGTTATATATTTATACATACAATGTAGAAATCTTCCCGAAGTGAGTTAGTTTTAATATGAAATATTCTCAATTTTTACCCACTACACACTTCCTCAAATTAATCGTAGCTTATTGGTCAGAGCATTGGCGCGTAAAGCCAAAGAGCCCGGGTTCGATTCCCGGCGGGGGTGTGACAACAGCAACAATTTTCCCTCATTAATTTGAGGTAGTGTGTGGTGGGTAAAAATTGAGAATATTTCATATTAGAGGTTTAATTTGTTATTGATGTCATAAAATTAAGTATGGGATTCACTTAATTTAAAGTAAACAGTTAATTATCAACTCAAGCAAAGTACAGCAAAAGTAAGCAAGGTATAAATACATTTAACTAAAACTACCCCAATGAAAACTTCTGTACTTTTTTTATTAATTTTTAAATGGATTATTGGATTAGTTTTTTAAAAATCATATTAGATAAACTTGTCAATGCTACTATTGTATAATTTATTTAAAATTCGTAAAGCAGTCGGTATTATAGTAATAAAAGTTGGACACACTCTACACTTGTAACATTATAATCCAAAATTGAAGCGACTATATGTTTTGTTTGAACAGGTTGCGAGGAAGGAAAGGGGGAAGGCCTTCCGGAGGGACTAGAGCAACAGATGAAGATAGTAATAGGGACGCAGGAAGGGCAAATAACATAAACATTTTGGCGTGGAATGTAGCAGGTTTAATAAATATAGACAAAATATTCTGTTTTTTTTTTGGGGGTTATGAGATAATTTTACTGTGAAACGTGGGTGGAATTTGTTAAGGAAAAAATACAATATAACTATAGTTGGATTATATTTAATGTTGCAAGAAAAGGAAACCGGGGAAGAGCAAGCAAAAAATTATAGAAATGCGCAAGTGAAAGAATCAGATGGTGGAGTATTGTTGATAGAGGGTGTAGAAGGTGAAGGAGAATGGTTAATTATTTTTGTGTGCTTCAATGAGGGAAAAACGAAAAATTACAAGAAATAGAAACAATTAAGGATAGTAGTATTATAACATTAGGAGACTTTAACATGAGGGTGAACATAAGCGATGAAAGAGGGGACAGGATCTCAAGGAATAGGTTTATAGACAATCAGGGAAGTATTTGAAAAATGGTTTGAATATACCAAATGGATCGTGCGAAGGGGATGAAACTGGGCAATTCACTTTTATAGGAAAGGGCAAATCTGTTATAGATTATGCATTTGTTAACAGTAGAGGTTGGGAAGAAGTACAGAGCTTCAGAATCCAAGCTATGACAGACTCAGACCATCTGCCCTTGGAGGTGATGTTGAAAGCGGATAGGGTGGCAATGGAATATAAGGAGAATATAGATTGGAGCCAGAGAGTAATTGTAGAATATAGGAAAAGAGTGGAAGAAGAGTGGGGGAGATTAATGAGTGGAACGATATGATAGAGGTGATGAAAGATGGTATGATTAGTAGGAGTATAAGGGTGTCTGGTAAGAATGAGGAATGCTGGAGGAAAAGAGTAGAGTATAAGGAAGCGTTGAATAGATGGACAAGAGATGAATGAGGCGAGGAAGAGTTTAAAAGAATTCGAGCTCAATATAAAGAGCAGATAAAGAGAAGTAAGAAGGAATTTGCTGGTAAGATTATAGGTGAATTCAAAGATGTGAGGGAGACAGAAGAGAATTGATATCATTATTGTTCAAACATTTTTACATTTTATCGTTCAGCATTCATATTACCTTTCTTCAACATTTTTATAATAACATTCTATTCTCCGGTAACATCTGCATTTATATATTGTTGCAAATAAAGTTAGTTATTAAACTAGTAAATTACATTTAATGAATTACACCAAAGAATTTTTTCTTTTTTCTATGAAAAGATTTTATATTTTAATTATGTATGAAATATATACATAGAAAATAGCGATCTTCATGTATATTCTGACATTCAAAAATTCATAACTCGGAAAATATCAACTTTACAAAAAAAACATCAGGCCTTTTTTATCGAGTTTAAACCAAATAATATAAAAAAAATTGTTCCGGCCAAAAAAAGTTTTTTGTCTAGACTA